GGCTGTAGCATGGAGTCCCTGGGAGCGCTGGGCCTGGCGTGCGGTAACGCTGGCCGTTCCGCTGGGTGCTGGCATGGCCAAAAGGCCAAACTCCTCTGCCTGGGCGAAGTGCCGTGGTGGGTGGGCAGGACTGGGGGGCACCCCCACTGAGGGTGACTGTGTTGGGTGACACAGGACATCAGCCACCAGCAGATGCTCCTGGGGAGCAGACATCACCGCCCTGAGCAGAAAACCTCCCTGGGGGAGGATGGGGTCCTCACGGGGCCTGGGGGCTCCCTGCCGCTGGTAGGAATGCCAGCAGAAGCCCCATCCCGGAGCCCGCTACTGGTCCAGCTGACATTGGGCTGCTCGATCTGCGGCACGGGAAGCCACAGGGTTTATGCCTTCGGCAGCTCCTTGCTGTTCCCAAGATTGAACCCCTCCCCTTAAACAGAACCCCCCAGGAGCGAGTCCTTCACCATGAAACCACCCTTCAGGTAAATCCCATTTTGAGTCTAAACCCACTGACACTGGGAAACGCGTCCCCCCTGCCAGGGGCACTGCCCGCTCCAGCAGCAGCTCCCAGCGATGGCCAATAGGCCACCCAGTTCCCCAAATACTGGAATGTTTGGAATGTTTTCCAAACCAGCACTGGATGGGCTTTAAGGTCCCTCCCAGCCCAAACCATTTATGCTTCTTGGCACTTACTCTTCCTCATGCTGCCGCGGCCGTGGCGCAGTGATGCCTGTCCTGCCGCAGCCGCGCTCCTCCCCGGCGAGGTGACGGGCACGGGCAGCAGCGCCGGCTTCAGGGCTAGGCTTTGTCTGGGCCCGTTTTCCGAGATGCTGCCTTGGGAGGAGAGCGAGGAGGTCGACAGCGTCCATGAGGCGTACAGGGAAGGCATCTTTGAGTCGGAGAGGTTGGATTTCCTGATTGAAATGGGAAAGAAAACAAGCTGAGACTGGGCTTGGGGGGTTGTCAGGAGAGCAGGAGGTTGCCCAAAGGGAACTCAGTGGTGTTAAGGCGCCCGTGCTGCTCCCAGGTCAGGGCTTTGGTGGGAAAGGCTATGGACGATACAGTTGAGGTTTCTGATTCTGTTACAGCAAGGGCTTTCAACTTTTTGCACCCAGTTTATTGGAAATTCTTCCCAAACAGGGTCAGGATTTGTTACAGTAACCCCATGGCATTTCAGAAGGGACATGCGGGCACCAGCCCTCCCTCCGTCATTTGCCCAGACACAGGGGGGCTCTGGTTTGGTGCAGCTGGAGGGAGACACAATTCCCATAAGGCGCACGGAGCAATAGAAGGAGCGAGCGTTGCAGGAATCCCCACAGGGATTGCTCTGCAGGAACGAGGAGACCCCCAGTCCCACGTGTTACCCACTGCGCGCATGCAAGGTAAAACAGACCTGAAGAGGGGAGCGACGTAGTTGCTGGGGAAGGTCCCCACTCTCCCCGTGACGAGGGACATGCCCCGCAGCCACCCGTCGTGGTCCTTCCCGAAGACGCGGACCCCTTCTCCCTTCTGCAGCTCCAGCTCGTCCGGTCCGTGAGCCGCGTAGGAATGGAGAGCCACGCACCTGGGGAGAAAGGGGCGGAGGGCAGTAAGTGGCCCCGTGCCGGTGGCTGGAGCACATCCCGAGCTCTGGGGCTTAACTGTGCTGCGGAGCAGGAGGTCGCCTGAAGCCTCCTCAGCCAGCTCTGAGGGTACCATCAGATACCCGGGTGCTGCCATTACTGCAGGAGAAGGGAAGAAACTGCCTGGCACTTTGGGCCAAAGGGGATGTGACTAAAAGAAGAGGCCACAGGGGTGGAGAACAAAGCCGATCCCATTGATGGCTTCTGTTCCCCCCGCACCGAGGGCCCCACTGGAGAATAACTGACCAAGGGCCAACGGGCTGCCGGCCAGCAGGACATCCCGACAGGCAGGACACACGGGTCCCAGCTGGATGTTGCAGGGCTGAGGAAGGAGTTGTGTGAGTGGGCAGGGCACACAGGTCCCAGCTGGGTGTTGCAGGGCTGAGGAAGGAGTGTGTGAGCGGGCAGGTGGCTGAAGACTTTCATACAGTCCTCATTCTGCAAAGCATGTTAAGGCCCTCGGGGTGTTCTTGTGCTTAGGGCCAAGTGTGCAGTGCTCTGGGACGACCTGTGCTAATGCACGGAGCAGCACGCCTCGCACAGATCTGTGGACGTTGCGCTTGTGCGGGTGCTTCCGCTGCTCTGGCTCCGTGCCGTCAGGGGTTAATGACCGACCTAACAGATGGCTTGTTCTACTTGTTGTTACTGGGCAGCTTGCTACGGGGCCAGGCTGATGTGCCTTATCTAGAGGAAAGCGAATCATCACAATGTCTCATCTGCAAATTCTAACTCTGGGAAAGTTTATTCCTACGTGGATCTGCATTTGGATCCGAGCACACAGGCGCTGCGCTCTGGTCTGCCTTTACCGCCAGCTCGCGAGAACCCTCAGCTGGAGAAGCCTCGGGTGAAGGCACAGAGAACCGCGTGACCCCCCCGGCGTATCTCGGTTTCCTCACGTACATATACGCTGACATGTGGTGCTGCAGGTGGGGAAGGGTGACGATGGCTGCCGAGTGCCCCAGTGCTCCTGGCGCGGGGTAGTACGTTGCACTGACCTGCAGGGAGGGAGAAAGCAAAGAAACCAGTATATTAACCTGGATTTAGGCTTCTGCAGCCACGGGAAGAGCAGCTGAAAACGTTCGACAGGCTTCACCCGCCTTTCAGAAGAACCCAACCAAGGATGTTTCAGGAGACAGGAGTTGGGAGCATCTGACAAACGATAGACCAGGCAGTAAGAGGACAGTCCTTCCGCTCCCACAGTGAGAAGCTTCCCAGGTATGGCTCGGTTGGGCTGTAAATAAGGAACTTTCTGGGACAGGTGACCTGGTGTGGGAGGAGGCTCTCGGAACAACAATGGAACAGGATAAATCCCAGCTGTGACTTCCAGGGGTTAACCTGGTTTGAGCCCTAAACCTGTAAATATTGCTGATCTCACAAGACCCACTCGAGTGGGGAAACACTCCGTTGCCTCTCCTTGTGCTCACTCTTCTCTCACCCCTTTTCGCTTGGCTCTGAGGAAGGGGAGTGCCTCGGATCCGTGCTCTGTCTCAGGTGCCTGCTTCAGGAAGGGAAAGGAGTATGGGATACCAGCATTCCAATCCCAGACTTTGCTATGCAGGAGGAGCCCATCGCATCTGCCGGGCGAGGACGGGTGTAATCATTGCTGTTTCGCTTGTTATTTATTTTGCTGCAGCTGGGAGTATTGGCATTGTCTAAACCCTAAATAATACACTCCTTGCCCCAGCGATCTTTTAATAACTACTTTAATAATTATTATTACAGCTCTTTGTCTGGGGCGTCCCGAGAAGCTCCGCAGACCCGTGCACATGGACAGTGCCGGTAAGGGGAGCTGTGCCTGCCGGTTTGGGGCGGCCCCTTCCCTGCTTTGCCCCTACGTGACGGATGCTGGAGCTGTTGGACACGGGATGCATTAATCCTTGTCCGAAACCGCCTGCAGTGTATTGGCCAACTCTGCAGAGCGGTGCCGCTACGAAATGCTACTGAAGTGCTGCTGTGAGCAAGCAGCTCACCCCCCCTGGACGCGCAGCGCTGTGCTGCTGCAGGAGCGCGGCTCCGTCCGGAGGTTCCCAGCAAGGCAACGCGACAGCATCCCTGGGAACCTCAGGCCAGCGGAAAGTCGCCGGGCTGGGATGCAGCTGGTGGTCGTGCTCCCCAGCAAAGGCCGTGGGATCTTTGATGACGTGCAGTGTCGGGGCTTGAATCCCTTACTGCTTTCCAAGCTAACTTCCGTGGTCATGCCTGTAACGCGGTGCCAGGGCACTGGCTGAGCAAGGACCTACGGAAAAAACCGTGACTCACCAGCTCTGTTGCTCTCCAGTAAATGAAGTTAATTACAAAGCCCAGCAACTATAACTTCTCTCTCCGGATCTGCAGTGGCAGGTAAGCTTCAAACATCTTTGTGGTCCCTGTTTTCTAGTCCAGGTAGGGTCAGACCAGCCTCTCATATAAATGGAGTTGATTGGAAGTTATAATTCTGTTTTAATAATTGTGATAATTTTGAAATTTGGGGATTTGGAGTTTCTTTTTTCCTGCATTAGAGCAAAATGGCCACTTTTTACTGGTTTTCCTGGTGGAACTGTGCTGAAATGGGCACTTCTGGGTGGGAACTTTCATGTTTTTGTCCTTCCCCCTTTGCATGGGAACAGCAATCCTTCCAGAGCCTGCGCCAAGGCTGGGTTTGTAATTTCAACGGAGAGACATGCAGAAGCCAACACGTTCATTCGCCGCTTCTGCTGTCGGCAATGATTCATGCCGAGGCTTTTTGGCAGGATGAGGCCGGGTTTGCGAGAGGCGGCGCCACCCCAGCTGAACC